AGACGAGAATGTTATGTTTAAGAGACGGGGAGGAGGGGCTCCTGACCAGAGCGAGGCCGTGTTAGGCAGCAGTGGGGAACAAGAACATACATTAAATTGGGTGTGGACACATTAGGTAGTTTATAAGTAAATGTCCTTATGTTTGTCTTTTTCTGACTTGTTTGGAACATCATTAAATATGGTTTGACATTTAAGCCTGTGGTTTGTATTTTGAAAACTGCACCAAAGCCAAACCATCTAGCACACAATTCAGACACGTCCTTCAGTGCAGGTTGAAGAGGGGAGGTGGCCAGTTTAGAGGCTGGGCCGTCCATAACGAGCCCTGAGCACACAAATGTTCAGCCAGAGGGTGGCACTGGGGCTTGGTCCTTCTGGCCTGTCCCTCTGGAATCAGGAGCGCCAAGGGGAGGTGTCTATGAGCTGAGATTTTAACCAGGGCTCAGTGAGTTTCTGGAAACAGGCTGTCAGTTTCTGGCAAACGAACCAGATCTTACTGGTAAATGCCTTTTATTCCTGCTCTGCAGCTGGTCACAGAGGGTCGAGGGCTCTACGGCCAGAGGGATAATTTTGGGGATGAGAACACAGATCCTGGAATTAAACCAGTACATTCAACCAGCTACAGTCTGATTTCTCAAACAGTATCAGCTTGCTTGATCTGGGGTTCTTCCATAATTTTAAACAAATCTTTGATTTCATACTGATACAATAGTAGAGAGGCAAACAAAATTGCAAAGTCGCTGGAGTTTAACAACTCACAAAGGATATGAAATGTGCTTAATCAAAAAAAAAAAAAAAAAGAAAGAAAGCTGTTTTTTTCCAAATGACAGAATCTATGATGTGCAGTTCAAAATTGAATGCCCAGGGATTTTCTCTTTTATGTAACTCCTATTTAAGGAGTCAATCACTGTACCTAGAAGAAGCAAAAACCAGTAACGCTTACCTGACGTGAATGATTCTCAACCCTGGCTATTCATAGGAATCACCCAGGCGCTTGAAAAAAAATCACTGATGTCTGGGTCTCATCCCCAGAAGGTCTGTTTTACTTCGTCTGGAGCGAAGCTTGAACATCAGCTTTTGTAAAGCTGCCTAAGTGATTCTAGTATGCAGTCCTACTTGGGAACCACTTCCCTAGATGCTGTGAGTGGGTCCCAAACCCGCGGCTTCAGCCAGGCAAGTGCCACATACAATTTCAAGAGAATATCTACTCTGTTACATTTTTGTAGAGGCAGCATGCTCTGGGGAAGAAAGGATTGAACGTGAAGTACAGAGTCGCAGGTCTGACTTCGGGTTTGTAGCTGAAGTTTTCCGGACCTAAATTTCCTTATTAGGAAAAGGATCTCATTCAACTGGAAGATTTCTAAGACTCTTTCCAACTTTCATATTCTCGGACTCTAGACCTCTGGTTCTTAACTTTGTTAACAAATACAGATGCCTTGGCATCACCTCTAGACATGTTAATCTGATTGGTCTAGAGGGAGGCTATAAGTCGGTATTTTCAAAAGCTGCCCAGGTGATTCTAGGGTGCAGGTAGAATTGAACATCACTGATGTGTGGTCTTTGTTGAGCCAAAATCTTTTCAGATAGAAGTTGAGATTTGCACGTGTGTGTGTGTGTGTGTGTGTGCGTGTGCAGTGTATCATATGTAAATCTGTACATAATGTGCTTGGGGGTGTAATGCTAGCTGAGAGGGTGGTGGGGATTCATACTCAGTCTCATATTAATTCAGGAACACAGAAGAAATGCAAACACATATGTCCACACTGCCTTAATTAGTCCCTGCTGGTTGCTCTGTTCACAAAGTGAAGAAGTATTGCCAAATGTCTGGGATTCCAGCCCATTTTAATTCTCTGTTGGCTTCGTAGGAATGAAAACAGCAGGTAAGATGGCCTGGAACAGTAATAGCACCCAATATTCACACATTGCCTTATAGTTCATCTAGGACTTTACATATATGATATCACTGGATTCTTACAAGCCTGAGATTAATTTTCCTCACTTTAGGGATAGACAACCTGAGACTCTTAAGAATCTTGTCCCCAAACACACATCTAAAAAGTAGTGGATGCCAATATTCTAACCCAAACTTTTTGATGTCATATTTCTCTTTCTTTCATTTACCTCCTTCATGCATTCACATTGACTCTGACAAACAATCCTCAGGTGACCAGGCATGGGGGTGTAGTGGGACAGGGGAAATTCGTGCTCTCTTTGTGGGGGAAAAGTGAAGAGAATGGGGCCGAGAGCATGGGTTTTTCCTTTATATCCCATACAGAATCAAACCAAAGAGAAGGCTGTGTTGTCTTTTGAATGCAGGCAGTTAACCTTGGTCAGAGAAAAAGATGCAGTGCACAGGCCAGGAGTGAAATCGATGTCAAGAGAAGAGATTCCTAGCAAGTTAGTTCTGGCCTCAACTGATGCCTTGATCCAGATCAATACAATCTCATTATTCTGGACTTTTTCTTCCCTTTTTATCGTCACTGATATTGTAACTAAAAAGAAAATCTTCAAAGTAGCCAGATAGAAAAAGCAAAAGGCCAAAATATAAAGATTCTGTAGAACACAGTAAAGCAACTGGGCTTGACCCACAGATTCGAGAACTGTCTGGAAGAGGCTTGAGATTTTCCAGAAGTTCTCAGATTCTTAAGCCATTGTGTGAGCGTCACCTATAGAAAGAAATCATCATCTGGGGTATAGTGTAATTCTCCGTTCTCATAATTCAGGCACTTCTGAAAGAAATTGTTGCTAACATTTTCATATATTCATGTGATATAATCTAAATTCAGACTGGTGCACATAGAAATCAAGCAGCAGAGGAAAATCCCAGGGAACTAGATATTTAAGCATTTAGTGGGGGCAAAACAAGTTTAGAAAAATGTGAAAAAGCAAAGTGAAGTTTTTAACATAGTTAGCATTCAGCACAAGAGTGGAGAGCTCATGCCAAAGTGCCATAATCCAGTTATACTACATTTGCCCTTTAGGACATGTATTAAAATTTCAGGTTTTGCAAAATTGTGAGGTTTGCAAAATTGTGTACTGAAAAGGTAGGCAGTGTACCTTATTCTCAGTCGGCTATCATGCTTGCGGCTTACAGGGCTAAAATAGTAACAAAAATCACCAATTTGCATGAGATACATTTAACACTGAACATTTCCAACTCCGGAATACAGGTAAATTAGTCTACTGAGGCTGGCTCATAAAAATCATTTCAGAGCTACAAAACAATTCTGAGGTTTTAGTCATAATAATACTTAGAGCTTCCTTAAGAAGGATTTGAAGACATCAAATGAAACTATAATGAATAAGTCTAAGCTTCTCCGCTAAACACTTGAAAATAAAGACTTACTGGAGTACCCTGAAGGCCTGGTTTCATCCCTTCCTTCAACAACCTCCCCCCCACCGCCCCATCTTTTTCTATTTCAGGGGAATCCCTGAGCACAAAAAGGCATGAGGAAATGCAGAATGTATGAGGACCAAGCTGTTTATTGTGAATGTCTGTTCGATAAGCTAGATGCCATATCACATGTACAAATGTATGATGCCTTACATTTATGAGGCCATTTCAATAACGGGACTATCAGTTTCATACGCCTGATATCTTGAACTGGTATTGGCTAGCTGTATGGATATCTAGAGGTCAGATAAGTTGAAAAGAAAAAAAAAAGACTCACCAAAGATTTGAACTTCTCTCTGCCTAGTTCATGTAACTTACCTTGGAAGGCAGCAAGCGGCCGCTGCTTTTGAATCCTACACCTCATTTGGATCCCGGTTCTGCACTCACCGGCTGCCCGTTTGTAAATGGGGACAACGATGCCTCCCTCACCGGATGAATATGAGGATTAAACTGAGCTAATGCATAGAAAATTCCATATACAGTGCTTTACATAAGACACATGAGTAATAAATATTAGTTTTCACTTTCCTTCCATTTTGTTCTAAGTTGCAATGACTTAGGCAGAAATTCAGTTCCTCTCTCATGATGACACAATACCTCTTTTAGGTAGCAGTGGTGTTGATCAAGAGTGTTTAAGATAGTTTGTGTGAAGGGCGCCTGGGTGGGCTCAGGAGGTTCAGCCTCCTACTGTTGATTTCGGCTCAGGTCATGATCTCACAGTTTGTGAGATCGAGCCTTGCATCAGGCTTTGCACTGACAGCGTGGAGCCTGCTTGGGATTGTCTCTCTCCCTCTCTCTCTGCGCTTTTCCAGAGCTCAACCTCTCTCTCTCTCTTGCAAAATAAATAAACATTTAAAAAAATAGCTTGTGTTCATATGTTCCCACTTTCCTTAGAAACAGGTCTGTTTAATTCATTACATGTTATTTCTTTAGTTCTTATTGATAATAGGTGTTCTGGGTAGCCTTGAATTCTACAGTAATAACTTCGATTAATAAAGAGGATTCATTCTAATGGAATAGTTGATGTCAGACACTTTGTGAGCAGAGGTAGAAACGATAAACAAACACAATATGTCTTCCCTTTTCATTCCCCAATCTTGGTTCTAGATTCTGTCCTCCTCTGTAGGTTGGATGACATCTGACTTCAGTACAGGATGGGAAGACCCCATCGTGTCTCTTGGCTGGTTCACTGTCCAGAGGCTCAGCATCTGCCCATGATCTTGACTAAGTAGACTTCTTGATAACCAGTTAACAGGAACCCAAGTGGTGTTGGCTTCTCCTCAAATGGAACCGAGTTTCTGAACTTTCTAGCCTGGCTAACCATTTCACATGTCTGATATGTTGAACTGGTGTTGGCTAGTCAGGTGGATATCTCGTACTCTCCGAGGGCACCATGTTTTTTCACTGGAGGGAGCCAAGCTGTGATGAGGAGGCCCAGCTTAGACCAGTTAGATAATCCCAGTCAGAGGAGAGCTGTCATAGTGACCATGGCATGAGCGTAATGAAAAGCTTATTTATCCATAAATGTACATTGTTTTATACGTTGCAAATTTTAAATTAGAAATGAAGACGGATGTGACTTGTGGTGAAGACAAGCTGTGTCACTCACCTGCCCAGGCTGTTCACAGGCTGTCTGGTACCTGGCCTGCTGGCACAATTCCTTGACCCTCTCATATTTGGGCAAGTGATTTGACTGTTGGATATTCTTGCTGGATTCTTCTTTCTTACGTAGAAATTTCCTTTGACAGAAAAGAAAAAGTTTCTAATGTGAGAAACGATCTGCATTATCTTCCTAGCATCATGTGCCTTTTTTACTTTTCTCCTCTGTGACATGAATACACATTCTTCAAATGGCATGACATAGATGTTAGAATCTGGCTCATAGGAGTTCGGCATTTGCCGAGTCCTTTGTGAAGATTATAGGCCAGGCACTAATGAAGAACATTCTCTCCCCAAAGCGTTAATTTCAAAACTCTGGGCATAAATGTTTAGCTGTACAGTTATATAAATGCTTTTCTCTCAATGTAGGTATGGAAAAAACAAGACAATGGGATCATGAATCAAAAGGGGAATCCCAGAAGAGACTCTGGAAATTAAAGTCTCATATATTTAAAGCCAGGAAAGGCACCTAAGGAAAAGAAAGAGAAAGGTGAGGGCCAGGCGGACTTGGGAAGGAGGGCTGAGAAAGTCAATCGACTGGTCTGATTAGGAGCCAAGGCTGAGAAATGCAACCATAAGTGCTTTGGTCCCATCTTGTGAGAATTTATGTTTTACAGTCTGATGCAACAATCGTGATGGTGCTGGCCAGTGGAGAATGAGTAGCAAACCATTCAATCTTGTGACTGGGCTTACGAAATCTGCATGCTTAGTAAACCGGAATAAGGGCGAAAAAATACCCAGCAGGGAGAGCTGCCCACTAGGACTGGTTCCCAGAAGCACCCCAGGAACCAATAATTACCCTCTTTCCACGAGGAATGTATCACGCCAAATTCTGGCTTTCTTGTTTGTTCGAAACCTGAAAGCAAAATAATAATATTTACTGTTGGCATCTGGACGTTTTTCCAAACGATTCTGCACTAACAGTTTATTTAAAGAAACACCTCTCACTTCCCACAGACCACGACTGCATCTCTATCAATATGCTATTCACAAACAGCAGGGAAATTCTCAGCTCAGGGCGGTTCTCCAGGGCAAAGCCTTATTTTGCCTCCACTTCTTACAACTGCTGGCTGGCTCTAGGTGCCCATGAGCTTGGGGCTGGCTGATGGAAAGCAAATTGACGCACCTGTTACCTGGCTTTTCCGGGTCCAGAAGTTTAAGGACGGACTTGCCATCCACATCGGGAGGTGTGTCGAGCCCAGCGATGTCCAGGATCGTAGGGGCCAGGTCGATGTTGAGAACGATCTGTGGGACTCTGCAAAGGGACAGATGGTTACGCCCCGTACCTAACACCCGTGGCAGTGGCACTTAGGGCCACTTTCTCCACACCGAGATGCACTGGTTTTTGGTCTTCTCTCCCTCTAGCATGGTCTTTCACGCATAAAACCTTTTAACTTGGATCAGACAATTCCCAAAATTTCGAATGAGCTGAAGAGACATAATAACATCTTCAAAGAAAGCCTTCTGCTGTCATCACCTTCTCCCTTCTCCCAGGATGTAGTGCAATGTGGCGGCAGAAGAGGCACGCAGGTGAGATTCAGGATATCTGGTTTCTGGGCCCCAATGCTGCTGCAGAATCGGGAACTCTGAGAGAGGCACTTACGCTATCTGTCAAGTTTCCTCCTTGTTAGATCAGGAGTCCGGGCTAGATGCTCCTTAAGGCCATTCCAGATTTTGAATTCTACTTGCATTCTTTTCTTTTATTCTTTCCGTAAGTGTTTCATGTACATTATCTTATTTTACACAGAACATTCTGATGTGACCAGCAGGACGTGTAAAACCCATTTTAAGATGGGAAAATAGAGATGTAGAGGGGTGCAGAAATAGAACTTCACTCCTTGAAGATGTTTTTCTTCTAAATGAAAACCATGTTTCTTAAAATGTTATATTCTTTAAAAATTTTTCTTTATTAATAATTGAAAAAAAATGCTAAAAGTCAGGGGCTGGGGGTACCTGGATGGCTTAGTTGGTTGTGACTGACTTTTGATTTCGACTCAGGTCATGATCTCACAGTTGGTTTAAAAAAATTTTTTTTTCAAAATTTATTTATTTTTGAGAGACAGAGACAGAGTATGAGCAGGGGAGGGGCAGAGAGAGAGGGAGACAGAATTTGAAGCAGGCTCCAGGCTCCGAGCTGTCAGCACAGAGCCCGACACAGGGCTTGAACTCATGAACAATAAGATCATGACCTGAGCCAAAGTTGGATGCTTAACCGACTGAGACACCCAGAGGACCCCCCCCCCCCCCGCAACCCTTATTTGAGTTTACTTATTTATTTTGAGAGAGACAAGACAGCGTGAAAGGGGTGGGACAGAGAGAGGGAGGGAACAGAGAGAATCCGAAGCAGGCTCCATGCTGTCAGCACAGAGCCTGGCTTGGGGCTCGAGCCCACGAAACTGTGAAATCATGACCTGAGCTGAAACCAAGAACCAGACGCTAAACTGACTAGACACCCAGGCACCCCAATCGCACAGTTTTGTAAGATCAAGCCCTGACTCAGGCTCTGTGCTGAGAGCGTGGAGCCTGCTTGGGATTCTCTCTCTCCCTCTCTCTCTGCCCCTCCCCCCACTCACATTCTGTTTCTCTCAAAATCAATAAATAAGCTTAAAAAAAAAGGCAGGCAGTGGTTATTGTTATTATTTTTTAAAGACAGTGTATCTCTGATTCAAAGAAGGTATAGGTGGTGTCCCTAAAGACCACATTTTGTGTCTGTGTACACAGCCCATATGACATGGATTCTGGTCTATGTGACAGAGATAAACATTGGTAGTTAATTTTCCTTTCTCTTTAAAGGTAGTTAATTTTCCTTTCTCTTAGTTCATTTAACACGTTGTAGGGGGAAAAAGGTTTTCATTTTCTGAATTACCAACCTACACACACCCTTTTCTGTTTTGGATGAAAAGAAACCAGACACTGAGATTGGTGACCGAATTCGCTCAGATATACACGAGCCACAACAACTCAGCTGAACGTTGCAAGCAGAGAAATACGTACATTGATCCTGGCTCTACGCTCGGACCGCGAATAAAGAAAGGCACACGGATATCAAAGTCATATGGCATGGACTTCCCCTTGACCAGTCCAAACTGCCCAATATGGTAACCGTGGTCAGCCGTGTAAATGATGTAAGTGTTCTCCAGCTCCCCCGTTTCCACAAGCATATTATACAACTGAAATACAACAGAGACGAGATGTGCAAGATGACGATAGTGTTGCCATGATTTCTCCCCAATTTTTTCCCCATTAATTTTTAAAGGCAAGAGTTCTTTTAATAAGACCAAGAAACACGATCACTAACTACATTTTCAAGTTGCTTACAATTCTGGAGGGAAGAAGTCCAATAATAGAGTTGAAATGTAACTTTTTGAATCTGGCACATTCTTCCTAAAGATTTTGTGCACCTGTTTTTCAAAAGAAACCCTCCACAAAACAGCCTCTACCACCTCACATCAGTTTTACACTGAAAAATCCATTGTTGATTTTTTTCGTCACTCTTATATGGCTATCAAGGGTTAAAAACAGCCTGCTTCTGGGCCTGATCCAACTAGATCCAGCCTGTAGACAAGTTTTATTCGGCTTCTGTTAATTTTTTAAAATTCAGGAAATTTCACATAAAACGTTTGCATTTCTGGTTTCCTTAAAAAAAAGTCAGAAGACCTCATGATACGGGATCTACCTTTCTACGTGGCGAAAATTAGCTGGAGCTGGGTGGTTGCTTCTTGTTATAGAGGGGGACACTTAAAGTTCACCATAATCCCTACCATTCCCTATTGTTTCATACGAGACCAGCTTTAGGTATTTACATTATTTGCTTAATTCTTGAGGGTATTTGTGAGTGTAGCCCTTGATTTATGGTGTTTTGATTTTTGTCTCGTCTTTGCCCCTGGCTCCAAAGGCAGTGTGGCCTGGAGAGTTAACAGAAGGGGTCAAGATAAGGGAGGGTAGATAAAATCACTGAACACTTATGCATACTCTCTCCCTCTCAAAAACAACAATGAAACAAAAACAGAATTGGCAAGAATGGGTCCGCACAAAGACAGCTGGACCAAAATCTATCACCGAGGCAAATTGGTATGCTTACCCTTTCCACAGAATCATCTACGGACATCAAAGTCTGAAGCCTTTTGCGATGTAGAACGTTCGTAAATTCCATGTGGATGGGCAGCATGGGCCCCGTGTACTGCATAATCCAGTGCTTATCCATATTTGGTGCATAGTTGTAACTAGGGGTTCTGAAAATATCCAGAGAGAATTCTTACTATACATATTTTTAGTCATTTGGAGAAATATTTCAAGTTAAAGGCTGTAAAACAATCATTTCGGAAAGATGATTTAGACATTGCTAAAGTATTTTTTTTCTCCCATGTACCTTCTATGTTTATAGGAAAAGCTAAAATCTTCACCACCCCAAACAGCACACATCCTCTAAAGGCATGTGCATTCAACCTTATAAAACCAAGAGCGGTATCTAAAAAAGTAATTAGTGTAAGTTCATTTGGATTCATCGAATAAAATGTGTAAAAACACATCAAGATGATCATGGTATTGTAATATCTACAGATAAAACTCAGTAATACAGAAGGGAAAGTTTTCATGGTGATATTAAGTCGTAAACTTTCATTGCTAATTGGGCTATTAGATATAGTCACAAATATGTGTAATAATAATCATAATTTCAATATATTTTTTCTCTTGAGTTTACTGGGCTATTTTATTGATTACTTATATATCTAGTCTCTATGAGTTTTTCCCCTTCCTATATATAGGATATATAGGTTATATATAGATACCATTAATTTAATTGGATTTGCTGGAATTATAACCAATTCTACGTCTGCAATATACATGCTGATCAATAAAGCTATTCTTTTAATAGACAAATCAATATCAGTGCAGAGCCCAATTTTTCTTAACTACAGGGTGGTGGGTCCTATTACTTTCAAACATCTTGGTTCAAGCTTCTATTTAATTTATTGCAGACACCCAAGTGGTGTCCCACACATTCCACTGGGGACCCACAAAATGTCCCCTTCTTTTTGATATCATCTAACCCAAATCTCTTGACCATTAGATGCTGCCACCTCATGTTCCCAAAGTACATATCTATACTAGAGTAATTTTCCCACTGAGAATTACTCGTGTGTATTTTACCTCTGCCAGACTACAATGTACTTGAACTTTCTCCTTAGATGTTATTAAGCATGCAGAAGTTGTTTAATATTAAAAACTTAGTATTTACCATGTGTTGGGTTTTGAGTTGTTTTGTACACCTTAACTGATTTAACTATCTCTGTTGTTCTTAGAAATAGGTTTATCTGGGGCGCCTGGGTGGCTCAGTCGGTTAAGCGTCCAACTTCGGCCTCAGGGCACGATCTCACAGTTCATGGGTTCGAGCCCCGCATCGGGCTCTGTGCTGACAGCTCAGAGCCTGGAACCTGCTTTGGTTTCTGTGTCTCCCTCGCTCTCAGCCCCTCCCCCACTCGCGCTCTGTCTCCCTCTGTCTCAAAAATAAACACGAAAAAAAAATTAAAAAAAAAAGAAAGAAATAGGTTTATCATTCCTATTTTACAGTTGAGAAAACTGAGGCCTAGCAAAGTTAAGCAATTTCCTCAGATTAACAAAGTCATCAGGTGGTAGATCCCGGACTCCATTCCAGAGCCCATTTACTCTAACAAAATGAAAGAAAAAATGAAGTGCGGGGTGCTTCCTATATCTGAGACTGCTTGTCTATGACCCCCAGCTTTACAAGTAACTGGTCTCACAGAACAAGTAACCATCTATGTTGGTTGAGAAAGCTGGTAGTCACTGTCCACTGAGGGGAGGATCCTCTCAGTGAAAAATTGTGGATGATGACAAATGAAGATGACCCTCTGCCATCATTTACATTATAAAGCCAGAGAAACAGTCGCTGCAAGCCAGGTGAATTCAGGGATATTGACATGTACCCTTCTGGTTTGTTGTGATATCAATTTCCCTTGGGGTAAACCTGGAGTTTCTGGGATACATACTTGTATACTGAGCTATATAAATGCTGCCTGTTATTATACATTTTCTTCCGCCAGTGGATTTGCAGAACTTCTCTTTCGATAGTTGAAAACATCGTTTTGGTACCACAGACCTTCTTGGCACAAAAAATTACCCTGATGATCAGTACGGATGCTGGTTAACTAGCAGAACTACGACAGCACAAATACCAAATATAACACTGAACACAGAAGGCACTGTACCTAAAATTGTATAAATTGTGCTCAGTAGTTAGTGTAAGTCAACTCCTTTTTTAAAGGGACAGATTTGCAGAGTAGAAAAAGCAGGTGTGGTTCAATTTGCTCATCTGTAAATGGAGATAATAGTACCTTTCCTAAAAAGCTCTTTTGAGAAATAAATCTATCTACCTATCTATCTCTATATCACTTAAAAGTGCCTAGTACAGAGGCACATGAGTTTCCTACATAAACCAATAAATAAATACATTCTATATAAGTGTCTGGGTTAAGAAAATCCTGTTGCATTAAAAACCAGACAAGCTCTTCAGGTATCGCCCGCCATTCTTTTTAAGAGAAACTTTCCATATAAGCTTTCTTCTGCTTCCCCAACAAATGACTCATGAACCACTGGTCCTTTTTTTTTTTTTTTGGCCTGAAAGGGTTCCTCATATCTAAAAGTGAACACAGGCAGAATCAGCCTGTCGCATCTCAGGAGCTTGTGCAGTAGGAAGGAGTGTAAGCCCTGTTTCTTATTCTTCACGCGGCATGTTGTGGTACAAACAGGATTAGATTGAGAGGCTGAGGAGGAGGAGAGGGGAGGCTTCTAAAGCCCATAGGAAAAGGATTTTCACCCGTGGGGGTAGCTCGAGGTCAGAGAAATATAGCAAGTGGGTCATGAAAGGTCCCCTAACCATTTACTGATACGTGCCCTGAAAAAGAATACGGCTATAAAAGATTACACAGGCTTCTTTGTAATACCTAAACATCTTCCTCTTACTGCCTTTGATGTTGGTTTGCCTTAATTTTAAAATAAATCGAGTTGACTTTTTTAAAACCACAAAACCTCAACACAAATAAAAACTACAATAGGGAACCAGAACGAAGCCTCACAGCGGGCAAATTATATCTTCTACCGGTTACCTTGATGTGCTTGGCACAATTCCATCTACTTGGAGGAACGGGAAAGGTCACAGCAAATTACAAGCCTCAAATTGGACTCCCAGATTTACAGAATGACATATGTTAAATCTGGCTTATATTAAAAGGAGAGTTCAGGTCTGTTGTCAGAGCTGTCCTTCCCCACCCCCAACCGTTGCCTTTATTCCCCCCTCCCCCTTAATTTCTCGCAGTGGGAAGCTGACCCCCAGCTCTGGGGATGAAATCCCAGGTGAGATCTCAGCAGGGGGCAAGGAGGGGGTACACATTTGCCTTTTAAAGGAAGACAGACTGCCACTGCTTCCCACAGAACGGCAGCTGTTCGGGGACCTGCAGGTGTAAGTTCGGGGGTCGCTGCAATTGACAATGTTGTTGAAAAGTGATCTTTTGCCAAAGACCTGTGGTTGCCTCCTGCCGGGGTCTGCCAGATTCCTGGAAGATGCAGCCTTCTGTCCCCCAGTGATAATTAAGGCTTGCTTCCCAAAGAACTGACTCACAATTATTCAAACAGGACCTGGAGCTGTCAGCTGGAACAGAAACCACTGAAAGAAGCAGGTAACTGTTTTAGGGAAAAGCGTAAAATCACATAATCAATTGCTCCAGAATGTTTTGGGATCAGACCCAAAATCTCATCCCAGCCCTGTTACTTACTGGTGTGTGATCGTGGGCAACTTTTTTTTTTTTTTTTTTCTCTAAGCCTCTGTTTCTTCATCTATGTAATGGGAATACCAGCTACAGTGTTTGGTGAGGATTCGAAGAGACTTCAGAGACTCCAGAGAACAAATCTGGGACCACATCATACCCCTACTCACCGGTAGCTGGGAAAGGTCTTATACAGGTATCTAGGAAAGATCATTTAATAGCTCTTTTGGTTGTTGTGGCAATCCTGGAGGGTAGGAGGACATCTCATTCCCATTTTACAAATGAGAAAGTAAAGTGTAGAGAGGTGACTCAGAAAGAATGGGCTGGGGCTGGAACTTCTTCCATGATATCCTGATGACCAGAGTCCTGCATCACAGTCCCCAAGAAGTTCCTCAAAATCCCAGTCATGAAAAGATCTGGTACATATATTTCTTTCTCTCAAAATTACGTCCTAAGATCCTTAACATTCGTCTTGATTTAAAACATTAGCCGTTTCTGGTTCCCGTTCAAGTGCGTCCTACCAGCTGCTTTGTGTCCACACCTGCTGACAATACGACAAAGTCTGACCCTCTGTAGCAAAGTGGGTGTAGCAGCAAAAAGCGTAGGTAACACTAGCTGTCTGCTTTAAAAGGGAGAGGACAGGGGCGCCTGGGTGGCGCAGTCGGTTAAGCGTCCG